ATATGATAATAACACAAACAACAACATATACATACAATTATCAACAAATGCTGCAAAAATTTAAATAATTCAGTAGCAGGCCTGAGGATTTGGGAAATTCACAGTAACCGTTTTTCGGTTCCATCGGATTACCCAATGGGAAACCACGGTAACTAATTCTGGGTTCCGTAAACGTTCATCATGGGAACCCATTTTTCTATTTTGACTGATATTCATAATCAAGAATTCTGATTATTCTCAAAAGTAAAATGTTTCAAGGGTAAATGTTTGAAAACTATGCATTAACAATGAACATTACATCAGCAGCTGTGTACTCAAGGTTTATTCAAACAAATAAATGGATCAAAATATGATGTACTCATATGGCATCATGAATAGAGCATACGACAAAATCAGAGTATTTTTTCCAATCTCACACTGCAGCTTAATTTACTGGTAATTATTAATATAGTTAAGTATTGATGTGGCTTGACATCCTCTTCCCAAGATGATGTATGTGTAATCTACTATCAATTTGACGAAAGAATGTAACACACGTCATCACTAGTTCTACCAACAGTTAACATTAGCATTACTACACCTTGTGACGAATGTTTTACTCATAAAGCTACCATGCTACAACCAGTAAATTATAGATTAACCACTACTGTTTCATATTTTTCATAGTGATTAGCCTGTAGATCTAATGACCAACTTGCCTTGTAATCGTGCCTCGCGTCGTATCTCGCTCTCGTGTTCTGTGCATACGTCACAGCTCAGTTTAGTGATACACCCTTCGGACAATTCATACGAAAAATCAGACTGCCATTCCCATTTCTTAAATGTCGTAATTAGTAGACCTTTGTGAGTTTTTTTCGCTGCCATCTCAAACTTTCATCCGCGCAATTCCTCAGTTTGCGGACTAAAATAGCAACCCACATCCGCACATAACGTTATCTGTTCCGAAACGAAAAACGAAAGTAAATGAGAAGAAACACACTCACACACCACACCACAAACACACATACAGGCACAGTGAAATCGCGTTGATCACACTGGAGAGATTCGATCGCGTACAGTCAACTCGTGTGCGGTGACTTTTATGGTTAAACGATTTTTCGGTACCGTCAAAATGAGGCCACAGAAACGACACGCTAATGGTAACGACAGTTACCGTGAAATCCTCTGGCCTGCCATAGTTTTTTTTGTTTTGTTTTGTTTTGACTGAGAAATTTCCTTGCGTCCCAAAAACGCACATTATTTGGAAATGTGCGTCCTGCGCGAAAATTATGCGTCTAGGACACGGGACGCAGAGGTAACGAGATGGCTGAACGTGTGTATAAATACACACATTTTGTGAATCCCATCTGTGTTTTATGGTTCAAAAAGGTCTTTAAACAGACCTAACTCAGAGTAAGAACAACACCAACCTCAGCCCAACTCGGGAACGACCTCCAAGCGGTGTTGGGCGTGCCTTCGGGCTACGAACAGGTCCCAGTCAACAGCCGACAACTGGGTCTGCAGGTACTCGGGTCGCTGCGGCTTTAGGAGCCGCTTTGGGACCCAGTAGGGGGTTGCTCAACAACTACAACAACAAAAGCACCAACCTCATTTCGCTGAAGATCGCTACTGCCCTTGACCCCAGGTTCAAAGATTTGAAGTGTCTCCACAAAGATGGCCTGCTGACACAACAACGACTCAGTGTGACAACAACAGAACAGATCCTAAAGAAGTGGAAGCTATCCATCTTGCTGGGATTGCCTGATCCATCAGATATAAAAGAGGACTCCGTAGAGCATCGCGTGGAATGCTACAAAACAGGGGCCAAAATGGAATTGGAATTTCCACAAGAGAAAAATAGTAGGGTGTACCCTGCCTACTGCCCCAAGGCAGCTGCGATAGGCTCCAACACGCCCGCGACCCTCGTAAAGCTAAGAGGATTAAAAAATGGATGGATGGATACACACACACGCACGCACACACATGAGGCTTGAAATACACAGTTTTGCATTTCTGTTTGCGGATGAAAATGGTGACTTTGTACCTCATTAATACACATTTACTTGCAAAACTGTGAATCGAACTCTGCCATTCACTTTAAAGAGCCCGCACATAATTGCAAATTAGTCCCAGGCTGTGCTTCACTGATATAAGCTCGCACAGAGGGGAAAAAAAAAACATGGAACAAGAACAGTAAATATTCCCATCTACGGAAATTCCCTCACCCGGAATAAAAACCTATGCATTACAATTCTGACTATGATATTACATTAACGATCGATACATAACAACGACAGTTCCAGTACCGGGAACCCGGCAGTGGTGCAAACACAAGCAAGTCCCACTCGATACTACGAAATTACTCTGTCTGCGCCGCTATTTACTCTCATTGGATCCAAAATGGCGACATGTAAGTGACTCTATTAGCTTGAGTTTTACTGGAGTAGTGAATGATTTTTTATTTCATTCACAGCTCCGAGTTTCTTGAACGCAACATGCTCTACCATTGGCTATTACCGAGAATCATCCTGTCCTCCCATTGCCCAAGAGGCACCTCAATATCTATGTGTGTAGAAAGCTAGATCTGTGGAAGATAGAGTGGAATGCATCCGATTAGCTGCTCAGAGTAAATTGCTTGTGGCTCGACGGACAGTCGGGTAAACGAAAGTTTCCCGGAATGCTTTATCTGTTATCATGCTAAAAACCTTCCACCAACTGGAGCGCTAATTAGACAGAAGGCAAGTTCCATCGGGCTAACTATGGGCATCGAGGACGTAAAAGCGTTCCGTGGTTGGCTTTAAAAGTTCATTGCATGACATCAACTGAGCAACGCTGTCTGGGGTGGCGATCGAGAGGAGGTCAAGTTAGAGACAGTGAGTGAGTGGAACGAAAAGCCACCTGGTCTGTTACTTGTCTCATGTTAGAGCAAATAGTCCGAAGTTTGTTATACTGTATTTTGTTCGTATACCTGTACAGTGTACTGCAGCTTTTGTGTTATAAACAGTGTTTGGAGCACATATTTTTGCATTTCAATGCTTTGTTCAAATACTTGCATGTTCATAAAGGACATGCACTGTAGTCGGTTCCCACATATGGAAATTCTGTTGTAAAGAAGGATTGGATGGCGCAAATATGATTCCTTACTAGAGAATACTTATTGTACAGACAACACAAGTGACAGCAGCAAAGGGAGTCAGTGTTGGGCACGGCAGTTCTTTTTAGTGAAGGTAATCATTGAAAACCAGTTCACTATAAAGAATCGTTCAAAAATTAATTCACCAAATCGTTGAAATAGCCCTACCCCTGTCCCGGCACGGATGGAGTGAGTGAAAAATAAGTAACTTTTGTGCTCACCCTGATGTTGCAGTTATTGTTCGTATTTCTGTCAAAAACATTGCAGCTGTAAAGGACAAATGACAATAGCAAATGGAGAAAAAAATTAAAAGCTTAAATCATTCAAAGCTCAATTGAAAATACTTTTTCTAGTTCTATGTAGAGCAAATAAATAACGTACTAATTTTTGATACATTTAACTTTATAAAAGTACATTACAGCAGTTTTTTTTTATTATTATTATTTTTTTTTATCAATTTGGCTTTGCTTCTCGACCCGCCCCTCACAAACTATGGAATGACCATGGAGGTTTCCACGGGAGATGTTCCTCAGCCACTGTGTAAAGACACTTCTTCCATCTCTGGGCCCTGGTGCATAATTATTTTCGGAATCCGAAAGAAATTTCAATCTTTGTCTCACCTGGTATTGTTATTTCACCCAATGATGCAGCAAGAGTGCACCCTTTTAAGACCAGCCAAGAAGCATTTTATGCATTCAAATGAACAGTAGAAGATGATCCTATACAACAAGATGGCGAGCAAAAAAAAATAAAAAAGCGGAAGTGACGAAAAGTGCAGAGGACCTATTATCAGAGATGAAAGTGGACTTTCCTGAAAATTCCGGGGAGAAAAAAAAATATATATATATATATA